TATTAATATACAAAATCAGTTTTATAATTACCTCAGAAGTAGTGGAAATACGAATGGGTTCTTCACAACAGGACATAAAAAGGGCAATCGATACCATGCCCAAGACTGCAGCAACAGGAGACATCCGCCAATAGCATTACGTCTGTAGTCAGTGGCTCCACACATCTCCCTGTACAGCAAAGCCAAAACTGTCGAGTCCCAACTGAATAATCCGGCGAGACGAAAGTCGCTAAGATGTCGCAACCACATGCAGTGAACTAGGTTGCGCGATTTGTCCGGCATCAGAAACCCTCCTATCAACTGCAGTATGTATCCCCGTGCATACATCTTAACCTCATCCTCAGAGGCGTCTGCGCTCAACTCCCGAAAATTGGCATCTAACCAATTTAACGGTATCCTACCTCCGATAAAATTTCCTGGGACACGTCCTAGACTATCCCAACACAAAGTAGTCCAAGAACCGGAAGCTATCCCCGATATCACATCTCCATCCACCGGAAGCCCCAAGTGCATATAAACATCCTCAAGCGTGATCGTGCACTCTCCGCACGGAAGATGGAATGTGTGGGTCTCCGGCCTCCACCGCTCTACTAAGGCAGAAATCAGGTCTGACTCTATTTTACAGTGACCTTGATATCTACCTATGTAACTGAATCCAGCCTCTACTAAATACGGCAAGACACAGTTGGGTATCACTAACTTAAGATTCCTAATAAAAGGATCTAATACACGGTCCTTCTCCTAAATATAAATAATTACAAAAATTAATTCTTAATCTAATAATCATGCATTAAATGAATCAACTAATTATTACTAATAATTTAAATTAAATTAAAACGTTAAAATGTTACTGTATCAGCAAAGTGTCGAGATATTTAATTCTTAATCTAATAATCATGCATATAATAAATCAACTAAATATTACTAATAATTTAAATTAAATTAAAACATTAAAATACTACCGTATCAGCAAAGTGTAGAGATATATGATTTCCATCCGAGCGAAGTAGACTGCCTTCCATTATATATCTGCAAAAGAATTATATTAGTAAAATATTAAATAAAGTAAAAACATAATAGTAAAAATATTATAAAATATATCTTAAAAAGAGAGTATTTGAGAGAATTTGAGAGAATTTGGTGTGATAAAAGTGACTGAGGAGGGGGTATTTATAGGGAGGATGGGGACCTGAAGGGTTGGTAATTAGGGGTATAACACGCCCCCTACACCGCGCTATACCCCATGTGTCAGATATTCAGGGATAGCGCGAATCAGGGGGCGCGCTATACCCACGTGGCGCCAAATCAACATATAGCGTGGTGCAGGGGGTGCGCTTTTCTGCTAAGGGTGTTAGATCGGGAAATATATTCTGACCGGTGTTAGATCAGGAAATATAGTCTGACCGGTGTTAGATCGATAATAATACCGATCACCGGTGATATACAGGGAAAATAATCATTATATTATAGGTGTGTTTTAAAAAAAATGACTATCAAAATAATATTAAATAATATTAAAGGTCCAAGTTATACTGGGGGCATTGAACTTACAAGGGCTATTGATAGGTTAATTAGTTAATTATTAAATATTGGAAGGGAAAGAAGAACGGTTATGATATTCAGGAAGCAGTTACTCTTGACTCTCACTTTTTTTCTCAGATATGTTCTCCTAAGCTTCTATCATCATCTACTTGTTTCTCTTCCAATCTTCTGTTACTGTTTTGTATGATCTTGTTTAGAAAGGCCACATCAGGTGCTTAGCAAGGAAAGTTAAACAACATATACAGGATACTTGACTAACGGGAACAGTGCATCATTTCAAAGAGAGAAGATATGAAGAAAAGGCATCCACATTCGCATCTTAATCGGTGATGCTATGATCACTTAAGTGGCTTCCACCATATGCATCATGGTCGTGCTTCTCACCCACATTCTAAAGTAATCAGTCCTGAATCTTTTGTCTGACACTTCAAAAACTTCAGACCACAACATCAACATCAGGAAACTTATAAAGTGGAATCCTCTAATTTATGCAACCATCTTCTTCACCAATTTCCCTATTAAACTTCACAGGTCAACATACTTCACTACAGCAGATTCTTGGAAATCATTCATTCAAAAATCCACAGGAACAAGTAATAATGAAATCCACAATGATTCTTCCATGCTTTTCAATCATATTAAGTCGTCCACTATTTTAAACTTTCGAGTGCTAGAGCTCTCAAAGTCAAGAGTCAAGAGGAAAACAGAAATCAAAAGACCTCAAATTTAATCAAGCCCCAAAATGAGAAACAGAATTCAGGTCAATAAACCATTTACATCTTTAGTTTTTCAAAGAAAATTAATGTTAATGCAAAGTTATTACTTAAATTAGAGTCTGATTACCTGATCTTTCATTTTGTAACGTTAACTCAAAAAATCTCCAATGTGCCACTTTTTACCCTCTCAACATCTTTTCCTTAGTTATATGGCGATTTACGGTTGTTTGTTGCCTCCATGTATGTGTATTTGCTCTGCTTTCGAGTTGCTTTTCGGTATGAACCTTCTCGGGTTGTGTTGTGTTTTCCCCCGTCCATTTAGTTTTAGGGACGCTTTTTAATGGGACACACATTTCAAGTCATTTCTTAATATAATCGGATGAGGAAGAGTGGACTGGGTAAAGTCATCATGTTTCTGTCAAATTCGGATGAGGAAATCACTACCAATAAACAACTTGCAAAGGATTTGGTTGAAAACTGGAGTCGAACCATATTCAACAAGACTACAAACTATCGGAACAACAAAAGTTGTGATTTTTTTTTACAAATAGATAACGTTAGTGATCAATTTGTTACAAATAGATAACATTAGTGACCAATTTGTTATTTTTGAAACTTTAGTGGGAAAAACAAAGACTTACTCAAACATTAGTGACTATTTCTGTAGTTTACCTTTTTTAATTATGAGATTGATACAAGAAGTATGATATATATGATGTGTTGAAACTTAAGAAATGAATATAATTATTCCATTTGTCATGTACTATATCATATTAACAACATTGCTTTCGTCGTTTTATAAACTAAACAATCAAATTTTTTAAGAAATTATCGTTTAGGTAAAGAAATAATATGGTATCTCATAAGTGTCTAAAAGACATATAAAGAAATTTATGTGAAATATGATAATGTGATTAAAGTGCATCTCATGTGTTGAAAACTTTTTTTTTGTTGACAAAGACGTGTTGAAAACTAATAATATTATTAACATTCAAAGACTAAAATAATTAGGTTAAATATTTTAAAATATATTCAAGTGTAAAATAATTAGGTTAACTATTTAAAAATCAAATTATCTATTAATTAAGATGAGTAGTAAAAAGGTAACTTAAAGGCTAAGTAGTTCAGGAGACAACAAAGACTTTATAGGAAAAGAAAAGACTTTTATTTGTTATCAAATTCGGAACAGCAACCATGGTTTCTCGGTTGGAAATGGAGCAGCAACCGTTGTTTCTCGATTAAATCTGCTGATGCTACTGGAGAACTTATGTGAAATTCTCGTTTTAACTTGAATAATTTATAAATCCTATTTCTAGGCAAATTAAATTACATAAATTATTTTTTTAATAAAAATCATAATTTAAATATAATTCTATTAAAATTAAAATCAAATTTTAATTAATAGTTAATTTTAGATCAATTCTTATACTCTTTAGTATTAATATAATAAAGACAAATTTATTTATGGTATGTTTATGTACGTCACTTTAGTAATACGTTATGTATGAGACGTCCTTTCACCTACAAACATTTCATATTTCTCCCTCGATTACAGTCTTTTACAATTTAAATTGCCCATTCATATTAATAGAGGGAGTTGAGACAATATTATTATATGATGAGCGATCGAATCAAATGAAAAGATTTTAATTTAGTTGAGTTGGTTATTTTTATTTTTAAATTTAAGTTTTATTTAAAAAATTGAGTCGATTATGAAAATTGAGATGAGTTTTAAATTTTTTGTTTAATTTTAATTATATATATTTACAATGTTTTGTGTAAATTTATCTAATATATATTTATATTTTTTCAGATTACAATATTATTTAATAAATCAAAAGTCATCTAAAATTATAAAATATATTTATACTTTTTTAAAGAAGTTAGTTTGGGAGAATCTCGAAAAGAGTATAAAAGTATCAATGAATTAATGAGAAGAAGCCATTTGCAAAAAATTAAAATATAATAAAAAGTTGATTTTAATAAAATACAAATTTAAGGGATTAAATTATAAAAAATAAATTTATTGTTAAAAATAAGAACTGTTCACTTGTGTTCTTGAGCATTGAATGAGAACTGAATTTTCATAGGTATTTTATAATGTTAGAGGAGTATATATGTCTAATAAACCTTTGTATAACTATTTAAACATGTCTTTCTTCGAGCAATTACATATATATGATGTGTACGCATTGTCAATCAATTTGGTTCGTGAGCTCTACAACATTTAATTGTGATTTTGTTATGATATCCATCACTTGAAGAAAAAGAAGATCAGCCAAAAGTTTTGGAGAGTCGAATTCGCCATAAAATAGTGTCAGATCATCAATTTATTTAACGTGTCACATTTGTTAACGTCGAATGATCGATTGATAAAATTAAGGAAAGGCCGCAAATATGTAAATATGAATTAAGGATTCAATGTGTAATTATATTATTTTTTAATTATTATGCTAGTTTGATAACATTTAAATAATTAAATGGTCCGATTGATAAAATTAAAAGATTGATAATTAAAATAGAATTTTTAAGTTACGTAGTATAAGCTGTTCACTTGTGTTCTTGAGCATTGAATGAGAACTGAATTTTCATAGGTATTTTATAGTGTTAGAGGAGTATATATGTCTAATAAACCTTTGTATAACTATTTAAACATGTAAAGAAACTTTATTAGGAAAAGAAGAATAGAAAAGAGGTAACTTAAAGGCTAAGTAGTTCAAGAATCAACAAAGACACTATAAGAAACGAAAGGACTTACATTGTCAATATTTGTAGAAGGCACGCTTGAATTATCTTCCACTCCAGGTTCTGCGGATAGCATCTTGGAGCACCAGATTCTTTGATAATGGAAGGTATTATTACCAAACATTTATGGCCTTCAATCTTTCCCTCACGTTTTGTTATGCTTTCCCAACCAAATTCTAATCATTCCAAGGAAATGTCTAAAACCGAATTCTTTTCGTCATGTTTGAAAATATGAGTGCAGTGAATAGCAGGTGTGGGTCTAATCTTCCCAAGGTCATATGGACGGTTGAAATTTTGGATGCGGTGGATGATAGTAAGCCTCAGTCTGAGGGTGTTAATGGACAAGTAACCAAGGTGACTTGGAGGATTGAGAATTTCTCCAGAATCAATAACAAAGAGATCTGCTCTCAACATTTTACTGTTGATGGCAACAAATGGTAGCTTTTGACTTTTCTTCTTGTCGATTATGTTTTCATTTGCATTTTACTTATATTTGCAAACTTATTTGGCAGGCAAATAAGTATCTTTCCCAAGGGGAACAACGTGGATGCTTTGTCAATTTATTTAGGAGTTGCAGATTCAGCAACTTTGCCTTCAGGATGGAGTCGATTTGCCCAATACGGATTTGCAGTCATCGACCAAATGGATCGCAGAAATTCTTTTACTAAAGGTCTTTTGTTATAGCAATCACATTTTACTTTATTTAATGTGTTTACCAATACGAAAAATACTGATTTGGTTTCCTCACCAAAATCTCTTTTGATTCTTTGTTCAGCCTCTTTTTTCTGTTACAATATGTTCACCTCTGGCATTATATTCTTTGGGGGCTGAGCATGGCGACAGTGGTGAATAATGCTCGAGCTGTCCATATAAAATTGACCAGAACTGGTTTCTCTTGTTTTTTCCCAGTCGCTACTCATGTGTTCAACGCGACGTCTGATAATTGGGGTTTTCCTTCATTCTTTGCACTTTGTGAATTAAACGACCCTAAAAGAGGCTACCTCGTCAATGATGCATGCTTAGTTGAAGCCTATATTTCCACTGATAGGACTCCAGGTCTCATTTCAAAGGAATTCATGCTCAAAACGGATTCGGCTAAACATAAGACCGTGGAAGCTGATCATGTGAAGGAAACCATAGACAACCAGACAACTGCGAAAACCGAACCAGTAGAAATCACAACTCCTTCACCAACTCAGCCTTGCCAGAACGTTGAAAGTCAGGTAAATTAGTTGTTAATATCAATGCACTCATTATCTCTCTCATCGTTTTCTTTTCCGCCATTTCAGGCCGTTGAACCTACAGAAGAAGATGTAGAGACATTTTTCACTAGCTTAGAGTCTGAGCTTTCAAGCCATGACACTGTTTTTTCTAAAGAAGAAGCAAAGGAAGCACTGGCTAAATTAGATGAAGCCTTGAGTATGACCCCAGTTAATCTCTACCATTCAGGGAAGTTTTTTTTCCACTTAAGAAGGCTTTCAAGATCCTAGCTAGTTTCGATTGTTCCTCTACCACCCTTACAATTGAGCAGAAAAATGAGCTGTTGGCCATGGAGGAAAGCTTGAAAGAACTAGCCAATCGAGCAGCGAAAGCAGTGCAGGACAAGATCCGACTTACGGAAAAGGAATCCATCAAGCTGACGATTACTTGTAATTTGGATCGTAATCTAGTCAGATATAAGGAGGTAGAGCAAAAACTTGCTGCCCTGTTGGCTGAACGAAATGGGATATTCATAAGTTCCAAGGAAATGAAAAAGGAGTTGGTAGCATTGGGAAAGGAGTATGAGGCCAATGCCAAGGCTGCTGAGGAGGAAGAGAGAAGCGTTGAGGCAGAATGGGAAAGAATGAAGGATTTCATCACATCTGTAAAAGGAAAGATCTAAAAACTGTTGTAGTATATGGTGTTTTGAGCAAAGTGTTTTATGATCCTTTTGGTGGAATTAAACTTTGTAATGAACCTGCTGTTGGTTTATCCCTATTTTGCTATCTGATGCTACGGGAGAATCTGTGTATGAAACTCTTATTTAATTTGCGAATATATCCACAAAATATTACATATGTATCCATATGTATATCCTTGAGCTGTGTGGTGATGTTAAACCCTACCACAATTGCATTCTATCTCCTTTTCCCTTCTTAGATGTTCTTTTAGTTTTTAATGGGACTTAACGAGACTTTTGCTGCAATATGCAACCAAATATTACTCATGTAGCTCTCAACGTCAGTGAATCAAATATGATGATTTTAAATACAAGTATTCTTATATTCATCGGTGAACGTAATGAATTTCGAAACTCTTCAACAAATTTTGATGATTCTACTGCAATAGACTTTGGGAGTTTTGATACTCCATACCCAATTTCGAAACAATTATGTTTCTAAGAATTACTTCACGTATAAAGGCCACATTTAATATATATCGTGTTAGAAGTGTTGTTGAGCATTCTATGAATTTATAATCCGTACAATATTATTAATACGAAACGAAATACGAGTACAACACGAACACTAATTTCAGCAAGGTTATAAACTCCACTAATAAATGCTTTGCTAAACTCTACTCTTACTCTTTTTTTTTCACTCACATTACAGACTCATTCTTAAGTCGAATACATATATATAGGAGAGATTTACGGCGTTTTTCCCAAAAAATCACCGGTGATCAGTATATTTACCGATCTAACACCGGTCAGACTATATTTCCCGATCTAACACCCTTTGCAATAAGGCGTGCCCCCTGCAGCGCGCTATACGTTGATTTGACGCCACGTGGGGTAAGGCGCGCCTCCTGTGACGCGCCTTATGCTGACATGGATACACATGTGTATGGCGCGGGGCAGGTTGGTAATTAAGGGTATAGTGCGGCACAGGGGCCAAGCCTTACCTGTGATTCTGACACACGTCAGAAAGGTGCGCCCCTGCGGCGTGCTATACTCTTAATTACCAAATTACCCCCGCCTGTTCACACCCACCATCCCCTATAAATACCCCATTCTCAATCACTTTCATCACACCAAATCCTCTCAACTTCTCTCAAAATACTCTTATATTATCTTATTAAGGTATATTTTATTATATTTAATATTTTTTAGTAATTTATTTAATTATTTTAATTGTTTAATATTTTATTTAATTAATTTTTTTGCGGATATAAAATGAAAGGCGATCTACTTTGGTTGGATAGAAATCATATATCTCGACACTTTGTTGATACGATAACATTTTAACGTTTTAATTTAATTAATTAATTTATTTAATGCATGATTATTAGTTTAAAAATTAATTTGTGTAATTATTTATATTTTAGGAGAGAAACCGTATATTAGATCCTTTTATTAGGAACCTTAAGTTAGTTATACCTACTCGTGTAATGTCGTATTTATTAGAGGCTGGATTCGGTCACCTAGGTAGATATCAGGGTCACTGTAAGATAGAACCAGACCTTATTTCTGCCTTAGTAGAGCGGTGGAGGCCGGAGACCCACACATTCCATCTTTCATGCGGAGAGTGCACGATCACGCTTTGAGGATGTTTCTATGCACCTGGGGCTTTCGGTGGATGGAGGTGTGATATCAGGATAGCTTATGGTTCTTGGACTACTTTGTGTCGGGTTAGTCTAGGACGTGTCCCGGAAAATTTTAAGGGTGGATGGATACCGTTAAATTGGTTAGATGCCAATTTTCAGGAGTTGAGCGAGGACGCGCCTGACTCGCCTGACGATGAAGTTAAACAGTATGATCTAGCATGCATACTTCCGCTGATAGGAGGGTTGCTGATGCCGAAAAAATCGCTCAACCAAGTTCACTGTATGTGGTTGCAACATCTTGGCGATTTTCATCTGGCTGGATCACTCAGTTGGGGCTCGACAGTTTTGGCTTGCCTGTACAGGGAGATGTGTCGAGCCATTAACTACAGGCGTAATGCTATCGGCGGATATCTCATGCTGCTACAGTCTTGGGCATGGTATCGATTGCCCTTTTTATGTCCCGTTGTCAAGAACCCATTCGTATTTCCGCTACTCCTGAGGTAATTATAAAACTGATTTTGTATATTAATAATTTTATACAGTGAATAAGAAATTATTTTTCTCGAATAGGTGGTCTACTGAAAGGAAAAATCATCAGGAGCTACCTGATGATTTAAAAAATATTAGGGTGTTAATCGATCAGAAGACTGGCACATATGTATGAATTTTAATGTTTAAAAATCGATTTTAGATTATAGTTATATAATTAGATTATTATTTTGATAAAAAGTATATATATTTGTTTTAGTTTGAATGGGTGGCATATTCTACTGATGATGTGAGGGCGGTGATCCCACCTGAGTTGAGGGGCCCATAAGATGTTTGGATGGCGACGGTACCCTAGATCTGTTATGCGACCGTCGAGTGGCACTCCACTGATCGCGTGCTCCGGCAATTTGGTTGTTTTCAACCAATTCCGGAAGTACCTCGCAATATGGACGAGTTGCATAGCATAGATAGACGCGGCAAGACAGATATAGATTGGCTGGTGAGACATCATGCGTGGGTCTTGTTGTGGAAGGATCGACATCGGCGCCTTCCCCGTAGAGAGCCCATTTTAATTGACCTCTTGATGGTTGCTGACGGTTATTACGAGTGGTTCAACAGTAACGGGAAACCATTTCTGCTTCCCGAGGATGTACGAGAGCAGACCTTTCCGCGACATCAACAGAGACGTTCACCGACACAGCATCATCGTCCCCCGACTCGTGGACGGAGAGCAGGTGCTTCCGGTTCATCCTCAGCTGCACCAGTAGGACCTTCACAGCAACCACCGTATCCAACGACTTACATACCGTAACCATATATGATGTCACCGCCGCCTTTCTATTACCAGATGCCGCCGCCGCCTTTACCTGCTTTTATAACCCCGCCGCCGCCACCGTCACAGATGACCCCTCCTAGAGGCTATCCGACTTAGGGTTCATATGCTAGATAGTTGGCGGGTTCAACCTCATTACCCATGGTCGCAGCACAGTCACCTCCTGTACAGTTTCACACTCAGCGATGTCTGGGTTTTATGAGTTTTCCCAGTTTTCGCAGGCCGGTGGGATAGTCAGTCATACACCTCCAAGGTCCTTATTCTATGGAGGTGCTTCATCTTCATCAGCTCCTCATCAACCTAATGTACCTACTTAGGACGATGATGACGACAACGACGACGACGACGACAACGACGACGACGACGACAATGACGGTGATGATGATGACAGCGAGGAGTCACAACCAGTGATACGAAGAAATCCTCCTCGAGACCAACAGCCACCGCCCTGCGGAACACATTCGCGTCGCAGGCATCGATAGATTTTGTTTTTTATTATATTTGTATTTAGTTTATTGGACTTTTTAATTGTAATTTTTTATTATTTCTCATTTAATACTTACTTTATTTTGTTAAATTTGTTTTGACTTTTTTTAATGTATTTCAGTTAATTTTGTTTATAACCATTTAATATCAGTTATTGTATTTTGGTTATCATTTACCATTTAATATTTATTGTGTATTTAAAATTATTTTGAAATACCAAATTGTTCGATAACTTTCTTAAGTTTGTCATTTATTATCTCTTTTATTATAATCACATATAACACAAACATCCAATCTCATATTATTGTATCATTTTTTAATCTTCATTAGTAATTATCGAATGACATTAACTTGAAGTAAATGCAAATTAAAGTACAAGAATTATTATTTGATAAACAAATACATCATTTCCTCATCAATTTTTACTTGATGGCAACAGAAGTGGACATGTTTTTCTAGTGTGTCCTGGGTTTCTACAATGCTCACATCTTCTGTCTTGTCTAGATCTTTCTCGAATATCCATATCGCAATGAATTCGATTGGATTTTGGACAACCACGCTCCCTCAATAAACTCGGATTTGGTATAATCGAAAGCCAATCTTGAACCTCATCAGGGTCTTTATCATTACCTATGGGGGGAAATTCAAATTCGTATACCTTAAAAACTTCAGATAATAGGTATACGGGATCCACAAAATGGTTATAGTCTTGACGTGTATGCGAGCAAGCTGCTATCACATGAGAGCATGGATACTTAAGAGCTTGAAAAAACCCGCAGTCGTACATTCTGTCTTTTATATTTACTCTTAACGACACAGCTTCAATCCTTTGAAGAGGTCGCGACAACTCTGTGAAATGAAACATTTCATGCCTTCTAGAGAAGCTTCTTACAAACATTCCATTTGATGCAGAAATTTTTTTCTATAGATCTACAACTAATCTAGGGTGATAGACATGACCGCCTTGCATCCAGGTTTGAGCTTGTCCCCCGAGCTTCGTAAAAAGCGCCCCCAAATGAAAATATGTAGTCTTTACCATAGCAGCTACTGGTAAGTGACGTGCACCCTTTAAAGTTGAATTGATTGCCTCTGCCAAGTTGGTCGTCATGTGTCCATATCGATATCCACCATCATATGCATTCATCCACATTTCTTTATCGATGAGGCCGATGTAATCGTATCCTTCCTCGTTTTTCACCCGCAAATCTTGAAGCATTGATTCAAACGTTCGAGGAAGTAGTTCGTAACCTGATCAAAAAATGTATAACTTACTAACTTGCTTTCTTTGCAAAATTAAAATGATCGAAAGAAAACAAACTACATCAGTTTCATTTACCCATGCACACAATTAATTGACGCTCATCATTCTTCTTGTACCTTCCATGGTAGTTCGCAGCAATGTGTCGGAGACAATACCTATGTTGGACAAAGGGTGGTTGCCACATTGGACCCAAAGACTCCATTGCTGCTTTGATTCCAGCTTCGCGATCTGAAATGACACAGATGTTT